CGGACAAGCGCCCATTGTTTCTTCAAAACGACGCCGTACACCCACGGCGCATCTTGCGCTGTGAGAGGGACGACCATCACTACAACCGGAGTCGCCCACGCGCCGTCGGTACGCACCACATCGTCAATGAAAAAAGGCAGGGATGTGTCAGGGTGACTGCAACGCTTCCGCTGGAGAGTCGCATCACAAACATCACCAGCAGCGCTGCAAGCCACGGGTTAATGTGGACCAACTGCCGCATGCCATACGCCAAAGACAATCTTAATGGCTTTACAAGAATACAAGAGACTGGCGCTTCCTCAACAAAAACGAAAAAATATATAAAAAAGAAAAATCCAGTGACAGCATCCAAACATGCAGCCGATCAGAAAGTGCAATGGGTGCACTCAACCACAACACAAGTAAAACAATAAACAAAAAGCCGAAGCGTGGGACGACCAGCACACACACTCTCATTGCTCCCGTAAAGCAAAACACACACACAGGGAGAGAGAGAGAGAGAGAGAGGTCGCCCACTCAATGTAATAAAAACAAAACAGAAACAGTTACGGTGCTCCGCCCATGCAGCCAGGCAGGACGGCAGCGGTGCGTGTCGTGCAAAAGAGAGAGCACCAACGGGCCTGCATGGGTGTGCATGCATATATACAATGGGCACATTATGTGTGTGCTTCGTGGGATGAGGTGAGGGCGAGAGTCCATGCAAGGGGACACACAGAGAGTGAGAGAAGGACGAGTGTGTGTGCGGGCGGTGCACGGCTCTCTCTCCCTCACTCTCACGCGGCCACCACCGCAGCAGCAGCCGCACACGCAACAAGAAGAAGAAGAAGCAAAAGAGGGGAGGTGGTGTGGGAGGCCGCGGTGCTGCTGTCGGTGCCGCCAGACTTAGATGAAGCATTATTTTGAGTGGTGGCTGTTCCTGGTGTTTGTAGTTCCGTCTCACTGGCTGTGTGAGCATCGTCGGTATCATCTTCAAGCCCGTATTGTGGTTCTCTGGTGTTAGGCCGTTGAGCGCCGTTATCAACTTTGTCCTCCTTGTTCTGGGTTCCACCACTGCCAATTTTAGATACAGATGGTACTGCTGTTTCCGCTGGACGACTTGTAGTTGCGCCCCTCATCGAATCTGGTGTGTCCGTGTCTTGTCTGTTTTGGTTTGGCGCAACATTCCCTGAAGATTTTTCCTGTGCTTCACGCTTCGTTTTAGCGTTTGACGTTGACGTCTTGCTTGTTGTTCCTGTTGTATTCTGTGAGCCTGTGGATGGTGTTGGGTTTGTTTCTCCTGCTGAAACGGTTGTTGCTGGTGCTAGCCCTGTTGGTGATGGTACCGTAGGCAGTTCTGGTGGCGCCGGTGATAATTCTGCTGGTGGTGGTGAAGGTTCTGTTGGTAGTGATACTTTTTTGATTCTTGGTTCTAGCAGTGGTTGGGGGTCGCTTTTGTTAGAGGACAACCCGTTATTGTGGGCATTATTCTCTTTTCCCCCGTCCGCAGTTTCACCGCCACCAACATTAGTAATACTTTCTGTTTTTGATTTATCGGACAACTGTTTTTGCGGATCAGGATCAATTGTTTCTCTTCCATTCACTTTAGGCGTTGATGCATCTTGAGGCCCTGTTTGTGGGTGTTTCTGTTTTCCTTCAGATTCCTCTTCTTCCTGGGGTAAAGGTTCCTCAGAGAGAGTCGGAACCACATCCAGCTCAGGAGAGAGAGCTAATGATATATCATCGGAAGCAGAATCCGAAGCGTCACCTTCACCTAAATGAGAACCATCGGCCTTTGAACCTCTACTGCCTCCACGACTCCCATCTGCAGGAGGAGATTGACCACCAGCTCCACCTCCACCTTCGCCGAAAGTTCCAGGACCACCAACAGCAACATCGACATCCTCAGCGTAGCCACCGCCGGCACCGCACCACAGCACGCAGAGGGCACACACCAGCAGCACACGGCCAGCCATCATCATCGCCATCACTCCTGTCACTTGCGTGCAGCCTTCAGCACAAACTAACAACACGTCAACGCAGAGAAAAAGCAAAAGGAGAGACAAGTCACAAAGCCACGACCAGCCACCGTACAGTAACAAATGGCAGCAACAACAGCAGCAGCAGCGCACAAACCATTACACAAATCAAACCAGTACAAATCCACAACTCGCACACCGACCCGAATAATAATAATAATAAACATCAAAAATCAAAAAAACACACCCAGGGCTCCTGTGCGTGTGCATATGAGTGTTCCTGGGATGCGTTCAACAAGGCAAATGCAAGAACGTCGCGAAGCACACAGCAGGGCAGTGAAGGCAAAGAAAGCAAAAAAAACGAGCATCATCATTACTCTTACTTTATACATCGGACCACAGTAGACTCACATGTCCCCGCGGTTGAGTGCTGGCACGCACAGCCCGCATACACCTCTTTAGTTCACAGTGGTGTACGCCAGCGCGGATACGGCGAGCAGCAGCGGGACACACACCCACGCAGAGCTGCTGAGGCTGCCGTCGATTTCGCGAAGACGTGACGGTGCGCGGGTGGTCGTCTTGGTTGGCGCCTCTGTCGCAGCGGCCCTCATCGTGGTAGGCATCGTATTTGATTTCTGTTCCTCAATTGAATTCTCTGGCGCAGCAGCTTCATAATTGGTTCCATTTTTGTGTCGGAATTACGTGGTGTCTCTCCCGCACTTGCAGTATCTTTTCCCTTCAACGCAGGGAAGTTCTTACTTGGTGCTGGCGCAGCAACCGGGAGAGTTGTTCCTCCTGGCATGCCTAATGGACCTGTTGCTTTTGTCGTATCATGATTCGCACTTACTTCCCTTGGTGGAGAGGGCGGTAAACCGTGTCCACTTGTTTGCTGTTCCTTCCTGGAAACGGTTTCTTCGTGCACCGTAATGGAATCACTTGATGACTGATCCGTTTTGTTCTTCGCATCTTATACCTGTTCCGTTTCATCCTCCAAACGTGTTCCGTCTCGCGTGCCAGACTCAGTGGATCAGTCATGCGTAAGTGTCGCAACTATTCCTTCAGGAAACAAAAGACGGTAGACTGGAGTTTTCATTATCGTTAGCTTTATTTTTGCCTGCATTCTTTGGGCCACCCTCAGTTTGTTTCCTTGGCAAAGGAAGAAGTGGACTGGGGCTTGCAACATCTTCTTCACCTGCTGTCACGCACACGGACGAGCAGCAGCAGCACAAGAGCGCAAGGAACAACACGGCGCACACCGTCACCATCGCAGTCATCATCGCCAGTAGTGGAGTCGCTGGTGTCAGTCAGCCGATCGATGAGACGGAAAGGAAAAGGAATGGAACGAGAGGGAGAGGGACGGAGTGCAGCGGATACAGCGAGAGAGCGCAGACAACATGAGGAGAGGGCAGCAGGCCCAGCCGCACGGTTCACACACCACGAGACGGCATCCACGCGAGGAAGGCACACAACGCCAGCAGCCACCCATCATGCAGGAGGAGAAGACATCCACCAACATCTCCCCCAGCTCATTCCCGCAGCCCCAGGGAAATGGCCAAAACCCCGCGCCCACCACACAACGCACACGGAGCAAGCGAACCCTCATCCATCCATGACGCGGCACAAAATTTCCTGCCATCCCGCCCTCAATGGGACACGGAGCCCAACTCAACGCAGTCACACGCGGTGCATCACACCCGCAGGAAAAGAGACTCGGGGTGCGCACTCCCTCTCCTCCCTTCTCCTCATGGCCGCGGAAGAAGACAACAGCCGCCACACGCAACTGCCAGCATGCACTACAAAAGGAGCATTCAAATCCACTGCAATGTGCATCTTGTGTGTGTGTTGTTGTTGTGTGCCTGCAGAAACACAAAGCAAAGAAGTAGAAAAGAGGGAGCAGAGTATGTGGAAGGACGCACGAAATGTACAGCGGAGACGCATAACAGAAACAGCAAGAAGAAGACCGCTCAAACTAATGACTGCACTGCAGCCCAAGCAGTGGCAATTCACACAATATTTATTGAAAACAAAAAAACGTCCTCCTTCGTCTTATATAAACCCCATCACACAAAATAATTATAAATAAAAAAGAAATCGTCCATTAATGTTCCACACAAAATAAAAAAAAGATCGCCTGGCAGCCGTGTGGCCACACCAAACCGTCTGTACATATTTTACCCTCAAAAGAAAATTAAAAAGATGGTTACGTGTGCTTCAACCGTCTGACCCTCCATGTGTCCGCGCATCGTTTATATTTCATGGGGTCATCTGCGTGTTGCTGCTCCCCTCAGCCCTCTCATCGGCGTGTGAGTGCGGCCCGCAGAGCACAGTCACTCGTGTGTGTGTGGGGACTGAGAGAAGCACGCAGACATGACGGGAGTTGCGTCACTCCACCGGGAGAGTGAGCGCAGCAAAAAAAAGAAAAATCATCAGAGGGGAGAGAAATGCTCACGAGGCCGACACCGAAGGGTGCGCCACCGCACGAAATAAACACGCAAAGCAAAACAAATCCTTAAAGAAAAACACGGCGGCAGGGTGTGGCTGTGTGTGTGTGGCGCTGCGGGTGTCTGCCAGCCCTGGCCCCAAAGAAAACAAAACTAGAGGGAAAGAAATGTGTGCTCCGCCCCACAGGCCCTCGTCGCACGCCCACACGTCACGGCTCCCTCAGCGCGCCGTTCGTCGCGGCCCCTCCTCATGCGTGCAGCAGGCGAGGCGCACAGGGCCGTCGTCATGAGCGTGTCGGTGGGTGTGCGAGTGGAGCGGTTGGGCGGGAAACACACGGCACCCCTCACAGGAAGAGTGCAGAAGAAACAATTGAAAAGAGGGAAGAGTAGAAAAGAAAAAACGTCCATAGTGATTGTCCCCAAAAAGCAAAAAAAAAAGAGGGAATGAGGGAAATGAGAAAAGAACAATAAAAAGTAAAAACAACAACAAAACGCAAAGCAAACAGGGAATAAAATAAATGTTATTTGAGAAGGGAAATAAATTATCACGTGTATTTTTGTGCTGGGGAGGTCGCAAGTGTCCCACGCGGCAGCCAGTCACTCCTCACAGAGCCGAAAACACCCACAGTCCCAACAGAAGAAGCAGCGATGGCAGCAGTCCGCTCCCACGCACAGTGCCGGCATCGCTGTTATTCCCCTGTGACGCATTTCCAAGGCTGCTGCTGAGTGCCGCAGCCTTTACTTCGCCGTCCTGTGCATGGATGTCCTCCCGTTTCTGCCCATCCGTCCCTCCCACCTTCTCCCCATTCTCACCAGAGTGCACACCAACCTCAGGTGTCACTGCGGCTCCATCGTGCGCCATGATTTCAGCGGTAGGGGCATTTGTATCTGCTGTGGCGGGAGTGCCCACTGACGGTTGTTGTGTTCTATCTCCCTGCACCGTGTCTCCAGTTTCGGTGTCTACCGTTTGACCTCCCTCGGACAAAGAATCAACATCCACATTGGAATGTCCTTCGGAAGATGTTCCCGACGCTGACTGGTTTTCGGACTCTTTGGCTGCTGGGGAGGTCGTGGCACTGGACACCGCTGACGTGGATAAACCGCCACTTCCCGCATCTTTACTTTTCTTCAACAGTTCCTGTTCAGTCTGCTGTTGCCCGCCAAGACTAGACGGAGTTCCGGTTTCCAGCGTAGCTGGTTTAATCGCCTCTGGTGGAGTATCCCCACCCATTGTTTTTGCTTCGCTTGCTTTTGGAATAGAAAGTTTTGCGTTAAGTGCAGTAATCTCATCGTCATCCAACGGGCGGTTGTACAGCAGGACGTTCGTCACGGTCACAGACACGTCTTCCTGGCTTCTTGTGTTGTCTGCGGTGCTTCCATCCCCTCCAATGTAGAAGTGGGAGATCTCTTTTGAATCCTTATTCTCCAATGCACACGCTTTGTCCCCACCCACACGCTGACCATCGACGTACGCGGTGCCTTGGGTGCCGTTCCGTAGCAAAATTACCACCTGATGTGTTGTATCTTTCTCCCAAGTGCTGCTGTGCTCCTTAGGATTTTCGCCACCGCACAGCAATATCCATTTTTTTTTCTTGTTGTACGACAGTCCCAGAAGTACGGAATTCTCTGTATTCTCAGCATCATTCATCTTCGCTCCCATCAAAGGAATGGGAGTATCTTCCTGCGGCACACCGTCGATGGACACCGTCGCCACAAGAGTGAAGTTGTAGTTCGCAAAGTGGTACAGCTGATTCTCCCCTTGCTTGCCAACGGGCCACTCCGCCCACGCTCCCTGGAACGTCACACCATTTTCCGCCTTTGCGGCCCCTGTCTCCCCTGCATCCTCTGTTGCCCCATCTTTCTTCTTCACTGTGGCGTTCACCCCAAGGTACTCGTCCCTCCATTTGTTCTCAGAGAAGTTGTTAGACAAAAAGCCAACCAGCCCATCCGTGATCTTATCAGTAGGGCTGCAGGCATTTTCAGGTGAGGCATCCTTCTCAGCACTTGAAGTGGTGCACAGCTTGGAGACAAGGTCGTCCACTTTCTTCCACGTCGCTAGCACATCCTTCACCCGCTGCAGCTGCTCAGTCAGGAGCACAGACCAAAGACTGTGTGAAGGTTTTCCTTCATCACCCCTCTTCTTCTCGTACAGTGCAATCAGCTTCTCCCCATTATCTCCACTTTCAGCACTTTTGTACAACAGGGAGCTGGCGGCAGCTTCCTTGTCTTCATCGGATACCGGCCCAATATCAACAATGTGCGTATTGTCCGTCAGCCAAAGATGGAGTTCACTCTTTTCCTTTCCATTGCCTTCTGTATCAGTCTCCTCGGAATACACCGGCAGAGTAACGAGCATCACATTTCTGTTACCTTCAACACCGTCAATCGTCGCTGTGATGAACCCGCTTCTAACGGCCTTTGCGCCCTTTTTGTTGCTCCACACGCGCGAGAGTGTCCCGAGTGCCTCCGTCCACGAGTCCCCCTTGTCACAGGACTCGTACACCCTGCGGCGGCCATCATCACACGCTGTCATCATCATGAGTTTTTTGTCCTTCCACTCCACGACGGAGGGATCGCTGCAGCCACCGTCAGACGTCCCCTTCGACAGCTTCCAATTTGCAGCGTTATCGGAGGTGTATATGAGCAGCGAAACGGTCCTCCCATTATTCTTCTTCGTCCCTTCCACTGGGAACACAAGCGTATCATCATGCATCTTAATACCCGATCCACCGCCGCCAATCAGTCGTGTCAAAGCTACTGTCTCTTTTTCAACAGTAGAAATGCACGGGACGCCAGCAGTATCTCCCCAAATAATACTGTTACTGGCCTCACCACCAACCTTTCCTTTCACCAGCAAAAGTTCCAATATAGACGCGTCAGATGCAGTCTCATGAGAAGAAGCGTCATCTGTACTGCTGTATTTCCCAACAAGCATGTAAATATCATTTTCCTTCACGACTGTTGTCGGTCGGTTCACACGTACTTTCGTTTCGCTTTGGGGAACAGCATGGTCCTCTGATTGGGAAGCGCATTTCTCTTTATCGGATGGACATTCCTCCAGTACTTGTGTCTTCACTTTACTCGCATCCAACTCCTCTTTTGTTTGCTTCTTATCCAACGTCAGGAGCTCAGAGGCAATTCCAGTAAAAACCTTGTCATTCTCCGTGCACTGCGCCTCGGCAACGGCAAACAATTTACCATCCATCTCAACAAGACTGGGAAAATAGAGCGAACTCACTGTTTCCCCTTCTTCCACATCCCTCCAAACAAACAAGTTCTTCTGTGAAGATCCCTGATCTGGCGCCGGTACAACAGCTTGCGCAACACCACCAGTGTTGCAGCACATCATCACGAGGAGCAGCAGCACCGCAGAAGTAAACACACGCCGGGACATGTTGGATCTCTGCCGCTCACTCTCTCTTCCTTCCCTCCTCCTTCCGTTGGATCCGGTCACGCGGCGACGGTTGTGTGTGCGGGGTGCCTTCACTGCAGCAATACGTGAGTGCATATAAATATGTGTGTGTGGGCGGTGTGTGTACTGTTGGTCCTTTCAGAGCCTTACAATTTCACAGTAACGTTTGGCGCTTGTTTTCTTTGTGAGAAAGAGAGAAAAAGTAGTAAAGCAGTGAACACCGCCGCCCCTCCGCAGTGAGTGGCATCATCATCCCCGCCGCAGTCACTCCCAACAACAACAACTCACGCACACAGACACACGGAAAGAGAAGGAAGAACAGTGCACCGGGAACACACAGCGATGGTCACCAACACCAGCAGGAGTCACGGCGGGTGTGTCGTTATTCGCCACGCGTCAGCACACACCGAGAAACACCACACCCGGCAAAGCAACCAGCGGGAGGCAAACAAGCACAACGGCCCTTCGCAGCACCCGCGCGCTGCCGCCAGTCCTTTAATGCTTCTCCCTCCAACGCACCCGCTCGACCGCCACAGGCGCACATCATCCCGCATAACCGACGAATCCCACATCGGCCGATGAGCAGCAAAAGAGACACGGCAGCACGTGCAGCTGCTGCACAGGAGGCGATACGCACGTACCCCAGGCACCCTCAATGACACACCACCCAATCAATGCACACTTGCCCAAGGCACCCTCAACACCACTCACTGGCTGCATGCCGCCAACAACACACCCGCAACGCGTCGAAAAGACATACCGCGGGCCCACGTCCTCCCTCCTCGCAAGGGCCGCCGCAGCCAAAATATTGTGCGTACGTGCGCTTTCAGCGTTCACGCCGCTCCAATGCATGTACGAAGTGGCGTGTGTTTGTGTGTGTCTGCGTGCGTGCGTATTTACATGTGCTTGTGTGTTTGTCAGCGCCTATACTTGCGTAGCAGCTGTGCGCCACAAGAGATTCCAAAGAAAGCAACGGCAGAGAGAGGCAGATAGCACACACGCAAATTACTCATATCATCACACACAAACACACACACGCAGCCCGCGGAATGGGTGCTCGCAACCACAAAACAATGAAAAAGAAAACAAAAAGCCGAAGCGTGGGACGACCAGCGCACACACTCTCATTGCTCCCGTAAAGCAAAACACACACACAGGGAGAGAGAGAGAGAGAGAGAGAGGTCGCCCACTCAATGCAATAAAAACAAAACAGAAACAGTTACGGTGCTCCGCCCATGCAGCCAGGCAGGACGGCAGCGGTGCGTGTCGTGCAAAAGAGAGCACCAACGGGCCTGCATGGGTGTGCATGCAATACATACAATGGGCATATTATGTGTGTGCTTCGTGGGATGAGGTGAGGGCGAGAGTCCATTCAAGGGGACACACACAGAGAGTGGGTGAAAGACGAGTGTGTGTGCGGGCGGTGCATGGCGCTCTCTCACTCACTCTCACGCGGCCACCACCGCAGCCGCACACGCAACAACAAGAAGAAGCAAAAGAGGGGAGGTGGTGTGGGAGACCGCGGTGCTGCCGTCACTGTCGCCAGTTGAAGTGGTGGCATTTGTACCAACGGCAGTTTCGTTTTTTGTGGGTTCTTCGCTGTTTTCCGCAGCATTTTCATGCTGTTGTTGTTGTTGTTGATCTTGTTCTTTTCCTTGTTTTATGCTGTCTTCGTGCTCTTCTTGTGGTTCTTCGTGTTCTTCTTCCTGCTGTTCCTGTTTTTTTTTTTTTTGCTGATCTCGTATTTCTTCTTCTAGATGTTCTCGTTGTTCCAGTTGTTCTTCTGATCGTTGTTCTTCTTTTTCTTTTTCCTGTTGCACTTGAATTCGTTCTGATTCGTGTTGTTCTTTTATTATTTGGCCTTGGGTGTTCTGTTCTTGTTGTTCCAGTTCCTTTTTTTGTGGTACTGTACGATGTTGTGTAGAGTGGTGGTCGACGGGACTGTCCTGCTTTTCTGGTGTTTTTGTTAGTTTAACTCCTTCTGCTTCTGGAAGGGAAGGAGGAACAGGAGGAACAGGAGGAGGAGGAGGAGGAGGAGGAGGAGGAGGCCCTGCTGGTGGTGGTGCTGTCTGATTTATCGTGCCAGCCCCGGCTTTCATCGAGTCTTCACTTTTATTTTGATCCGTAGTTGGATTGGGAGGATCGACATCTAAATTCGCTCCCTGCTCTTCATTTGGGGCATGTCTGTCCGTATTTGGCACCACATTATCTTTCAACTCCTGTGAACCTGCAGATCCTCTTCCTCCTGCTGCTCTTCCTGCTGCTCCTCCTGCTAGCTCTTCTTGCCTCTCTGGCAATCCCGGAACTGGAGAACTTAATTCTTCCGAATTCTTTTCGCCCTTGCCGGTACCAGGACCTCCACCAGAAACAACGTCAGCGTCATCCTCAGCGTAGCCACCGCCGCCACAGCACCACAGCACGCAGAGGGCACACACCAGCAGCACACGGCCAGCCATCATCATCGACATCACTCCTGTCACTTGCGTGTAGCCTTCAGCACAAACTAACTCCCCGTCAAAGCAGAGCAAAGGAAATGAGAAACACGGCACAGTAAAAAACACCAGCAGGATCATCACGCATTTCATAATAAATATTGAACAAATGAAAGAGCAAGAAACGCACAACGCCCTGCAAAAACTTCACAAAAAAACACACAACAAATGGAAGATAAAACAAAAGTAAAAAGGCAGCAATAAAGTAAAACAGTAAAAACACAAGAAAAAAACCTGCACCCAAGTGGCTCCAGTGCGCATGCATAAGAGTGTGTCTGGGATGCATTCAACGTGACGGATGCGGGGCACAACGCAGAGCACAAGGCAATGCAGCAGAAGCAAGCAAAGCAAAAAACAATCATCATAATGACTCTTACTTTATACATCGGACCACAGTAGACGCACACATGTCCCCGTGGCTTTGAGTGCTGGCACGCACAGCCCGCACACACCTCTTCAGCCCACAGCGGTGTACGCCAGCGCGGATACGGCAAGCAGCAGCGGGGCACACACCCACGCAGAGCCGCTGAGGCTGCCGTCGATTTCGCGAATATGTGACGGTGCGAGGGTGGTCGTCGCGGTTGGCGCCTCTGTATTTGTAGTGCTTGGTGCATGTGGCGCAGTGGTGGTCGTGGTCGTCGTAGTTGGTGCCTTTGTCGTAGTTGTCGTTGTGGTTGTCGTATTTATTGCATTTGATTTTTGTTTTTGTCCATTTGCCTTATCGGTCTCATCACGATCCGACTCTTCATTAGTGGATTTCCCATCTTTTTCCTGATCCCTTGCCTGGTTGAGATTACTTTGTGACTCTGCCTTTTCTTTTATTTTATCCGTTGTCTGTAGCGTCTGGAGCGCCTTATTTTCTCCCGATTCCGTCTCTCTCTCTTCAGCGTCTATCTTTGGCGAAATAGGAGTTTTACTAGGCGGTTGCTCAACCGGATTTGTTACCTCTGGCTTAGGCTTCGCTGGACTGAGGTTATGAGCTCCACCACCTTTAATTTCATTAGCCTCTGTCGCACGCACGGACGGGCAGCAGCACAGGGCGAGCACCAACAGGGCGCACAGCAGACGGCACGTCGTCATCATCGTGAGTGTGGTCGTTCAGTGGTGTGGAGCTGATCTGCACAGTGAGGGACATGGAGAGCAACAGGGGAGACGAGAGGTGCGGCAGACACACACAGAGGGCACACCACATGAGGAGAGGGCAGCAGCCAGGCATGCACCGTACGCCGCACACCACGCACGACACACACTCCAATCCACGGCAGCAAGCACACACACACACACAGCCCTGCCGCAACACCAACACACAGATGGAAGAGGGAGAAGCAAACAGGAGCGGCACACAAGGTTCCACCGCATGCACATACGGCGAGAGCGGTCCGTCGTGCCTGCACCCCTCACGGAGGGCACGCACACACACGAGAGGAGGTGCAGCGCACACAGCAACACAAAAGCAAAGTAACAATAAAAAGAGGAATGATCCCCGCACACCACGTGGATTGTTGGTCCACGGGAAGCGCAGTCAATATTCACCACAAAAACAATTCAATTTTCTTTGGCCGTCGTTCATATTCAGCGCACACCACTTCATGCAGGCCCGGACGCCACCACTGCAGCAGCAGCACCCATACGCGACAATAAGACACAAAGGATGGGAGGTGGTGTAGAAGACCGCGGTGCTGCTGTCGCTGTCGGCGGTGGTCGCTATTCCTTTGTCATTGTTGGTGACTGATTTTGTTGTTAATTCTTCCGGCTGTTTGACTGGGAGTGATGTTAAAAAACAATTGTTTCCCCGGCAGTCATTTGATTCCTCTTCTGTCCCGTCGATTTCTGTTCTCGCCGCTGGAGTCGGCGGGACGCTGACAGGGCGCACAGCACCATCTGACTGAAATTGTTCTGCTGTGTTCTCGTCCCCAGTCCCACTGCACCAGCTGCTGGGGGCGGTGCAGCAGTCATGCCAGAAGCACCAGCAATGGGCTGCGGTGCCGGCCGCATCAATCAATGGGTGTGTGTCCGCAAGCGACAGGAACTTGCATCGACAGGGACGTCTGCACCGACGCTCGGGGTGAGGGAACAGTGGCGACAAACAGAACAGCGCGTGCCACCTCGGAAAATCCGCAGGGCGTATTGGCGCGGGCTGGGTTACTACCGTGGCGACGGAAATAAATGACGGTGCGAGTGGCGTTCTTGTCGTACGTCCCCTCCGGCCACTCCTCGCGGTAAAGCATTGCCCAAGTACATTGGATTCCACCTGATAGACCAATTAAAAATGTTCGTTCCTCTGCATGTATTGTACTCGCATGTGGCGACGGCCGCCCGCAATGCCTCCAGCGAATACACCTGCGATGCACACGGTCGACACATTCCACATCCACTCGTTGTGCGCCATCCAACACCATATTTTCCTTGGAGCTATGAACAACACCGGGCACACACTCCTTTTCGGCCGTCCACGGCATGCGCCTGCGGTGAGGATCAGGAGAAAGTCCCATTCCTTTTAGGCCAAAGTCATGGAGCTGACGCCGTTAAGCGCGTCCCGGCGAGGGCAACAACAGCTCGCCGCAGCACTCACGAATGCCCACCTGTTGATTCCCGTGCAAAAAATAGATAATAGACAATGGAGGAAAAAGCGTGCACAAATGCCTTGGCAAGAAAAGTCAGCACCAGTGGATGAACACTGAAGCCGTGGGTGCATGCTCCACCAATGTCCTTCCTTTTTCAACCGCCTTCTTAGTTGTATAAAAATGGCCCACAACCGCACACGCAAGAAACAAAGGTAAAATGCAAGCAGCGCAGCCGTTAAAACACACACACGCGCATCGTATGAAGCGCTTCATGGAGAGAAACGGAATGCAGGAAGAAGCGCACACAATCCCCACAGACACCCGCAATCGTGTGTGGTTGCATCTTTCCCACTCTTTGGCCCTCGATGCATTCCTTTGCGTGTCTCGCCGTAAGTCCTACTGCCGTAAAGTGCCAAGTCCCTGCACAAACACACCTCAGGACGCGACAGCGAGGTTTCCACAATGACCACCTCACGGCCATACCTTTTGGATATCTCATGGACCGAGCGCCTCCCGCTGCAGGCCACACCACCCAAAACAAGCAGCACAATGCGCTGAGGAGTTGTGAGGGCAATCGTCCCACCACCACCGCCACCCAGATCAGGATGATTCTCCCATTTGCCACCACACCCTTGAAATGGCTCGGCGTTTTTCCCTCATGCTCCGCTGCTTTGAGCACCACTCGCGCCATTTGTCCTCATCGCATGATCGCGCTACACCGACGCCAACGACAGCCCAACCCGCAGCGTCCTATTCCTGCCCGTCCCCATCATCATACAGGCATGCTTCAGAAACGTATCCCGTCCGTTGCGGCGCTGCTCGCAGAGGCACTCGTGCTGCGTCCGCTCTGCGCCGACGCCGTGCTGTATCGTTGCACGCTCCCGGCCCTCCTCGTCACATGCCCAAGGTTCGCAAACAAATGGGCGTTGGGCGTCAGTCCACCGTCTCGGATCAGCTGCTGCTTCTTGGCCTCTTTCAACTCGTCGGTGCTGCTCGCAGCCACAAGCAACAGGAGAAGACGCAGGCGCACTGGCCGGGGCGTTGCGGTATCCCTCGTCAGGTGCCGCACGCCATCCAGGTTTTTCCTGAGGGATTTGTGCCCAACGGCGATGTCTTGTTCCACCTCCCACACCTCCGCCAGTCGCTTCTCCCGGTACTGTGCCACAAGCCTCGCGCAAAAAATCGATGTGCAGCGACAGTCTGGCTTGCCTCTCTCGAAACTCCGGCAAAGCCCGCACCGCACTGCTCAACCTCACAAGCTTGGCCTTCGGCTCCACGCCCTGCGCCAATCCCGGGTGATACGCGTGGAGTTTTTCAGCGCCACCAAAAGCTCCTCCACGCACTGTGCAAGAAAACAATGACGGTACCAGCACCAGAATGCATCTTCCCCACCAATTACTGCCGCTTCGAGTCCACACCCAGACGATTCCTACAGGTCTGCTCATACACTTTCTTCCCCAGCGGCATCAGGTCATCAAGCAGACACTGACATGTGCGTTGGTGCATCAGCGGCGTCACCGTTTCGAAGCCTCAATCAACGATGATCCGCACCGGGTTGCCGCGGCTGTCGGCGCCCCTAAGTGAAATCCGGCTCGTCGTGGCAGCGCCTGGCGAGCCCTCAAAAAAGATCCCGGCAAACCAATGGCAGATGCTGCCTCTGTTTTGGTGGCGAATAAAAGGCACACCGTTGTTCATGGCGTGAATAGCCGCCACAGGACGTACACTCCGCAACGTTCAAAACGGACTCTTAATTCGGAGGCAACAGCGGCGACAGCAGCTGAGGGAACCCTTTCTGCATGCTGAGGTGGAACACCAGCACTTCAGGGGCGACAAAGTCTAACATAATGTCCTTCAAACGCATCGCCCTCGGCGCTATCCGAGACCGCGCGAGTTGCTGAGGAGTGCGATGCGGAGTGCACCCCAACGCAAAGATGTGTGCATCCCTGTACGGGACCTTTGCCATCCAATCCTCAACCACGCGGCTCACAGACGCATCCTCCACGGCGAAAAAGTAGAGCGCAGGGCTACTCATAATCGGCTGCCGCGGCGTCATAGGTCCCCGAGCAGCGTCACGCCGTGTTCCATGAGTTCATGAAGACGCAGTGAGCAGTTTAGCACAGACGCAGCATGTGCATCGCAGAAAAAAACTTTAAACTATCCATAAACGACGTCAAGCATCTGATGGAATATATAATTCCGCACACAACCACGAACGCCATTGCTGGGCTCACGCGGCTGCCCCGCTTCCGTCGGCCTTGCTCGCACCAACCCGCCCCGCATACTATGTCAAGTAGAAGTCACACAGAAAATGTGCTTGGATATGCGTGTGTGCGCCTTGCGTGCGCACATTTCACTCGCACCGTTGTGTGTGTATGTGCATCACAGAAAACCTAACAAACACACAAGCAATGCCATACGACCATCTGGTGTCCCCCACATCGGCAAGCAACACGGGAAGAGCTGTGTGCTTCGGAAATACAACCAATCTCAAACACAAAGTCAAACGGAGTGGACACAGCACATGCATATGGAGAAGAAGACCCATTGAAATGGATGTTTTCCTATTGGGCTTCCAATGCTGGGTGCAGGCCACGCAGGAGGAAGCACAGTCCCCTTGCAGCGCAACGGCATCCACACCGCAAATCAATAGAGTGTTGGCACCGCGGCAGCAGAGGCAAGCAGAAGCAGCGGACAGGGACAAGCAGCAGCAGCAGCAGTGTCATTACCGGGAGTCGGAGGCGGGGCCTGCTCGCCGTCCGTCTCGCTGCTTCGGTCCCTGCCGCCGAGAGAAGCTTCTTGCGGTCTGTCGGGGCATCCTGGCCGGATCCACTTCTCCTCTGTCAACTGATTCTTCTGAGGAGCAGCTAAGTCCACATCCTTCGGTGGTGTGCCGCGGTCGGTCTCAATGCTCTCCGCAACGGGGACGGACGCCCCTGGCAATCCTTCTTCAGTAGATGCCGGTGAAACCGTCCTGCTCCACACGCCCCCTCCTCGCCACCCCACGGAACCACTGGAAGTAGGCTGCCGCTAGTGACGGATATCGTGCACACCTGCGCGTGGTCACGGCAAATAGCGTTTCCCCTCATCGTTGGGTCGAGTGGCCCACGCAACCGTCGCTCCGTCCGTGCATGGAACCAACGGACGTTACCCTTTTCAGTCACTTCCAGATGCACCCGCATGCCGAGGCACCTCAATGCCGCATGCATGGCAGCACTGAAATATGTCTTCCCCGGGTCCCTCGCATCCGTCGTGTTGGTGGGAAGCGTGTCCAGACACCACGAAGAGGGCTCATCCCCAGGCATCGCAGACAAACATTCTCCCCTCCAAATAACAGCCTCAATATCCCTCACATCCAGTGCGGAGTCAGTGATGGGGAAACTGTCCATCGGTCGTTTTGCTGACATCTCATGGATACTCCGTCTACACACCAACCGCTGGAATGCAAATCCGAAGCGCAGCGTCTGGCAGAAACGCCCGCTTCGCAGAGCATGTAGCAATATTCACTCATGTTCAGTGCGG